GATTTTTTTGTATTTTTTGCTTAAAAATAATCTACGCAAGTCAAATCTTATCTCCCTCTTTGTTTTCTTGTCGTGATTTTGCAGCTCATCGATCACAAAAGCCAAGAATTCCGAATACTCCAAGAATATAGTTCCAAGCGATCTAGAAAATTTCAGCTTTTTTTTCAAATCTCGGAATACCTGAGAAAAACCCTCAGATGTTTATGTTAATAAAAACAGCGATAAGATCAAATATTTGTAATATAAGAAATATGCAGGCACAGTTGAAGACTGTAATTATTGGGATAAGAGTTGGGAGTTTGTGAGAGTTGGAGGCATTAATTATGGTCTTTTTTCTTTCTGTATTCACGCCGCACAAAACACCCATGTTCTTAATTTGGCACAGCGCATCAGTGGCCTTCCAGCTATTTTTTAAAAAATCATAGACATAATCGAGTTGTTTGTTTCGCCGTTTTGTTATCTATCATCACTGTCATATAATCAGCCCGGCTGAAAATATGAAAACTGAGGAATTATGGTAGTAGAAAGGGCAGCGTGATACAGTTGGTTATTGACAGGTTGCCCAGCTACTGTGATTACTTTCTGAGTTACTGCTATGATTTATATTAATTTCTTCAATTTTGTCATCTGTCAAAAAATATCTTTCATTTAAGTGCAGTAAAATCAGTTGCCAAAAACGCTGAACAGCGATGGAAATATTTATCTTCTGAAGTGATTGTCATGAGGCCCTTTCCAAAAAGGGCTGTGGACCGGGGCGGAGTCGAACCACTCTATTACATATTCGGACGCGACATGCTATCCATTACACCACCGAGTCTTGTGCTTCGGAGTCAGCCTGGTAGCACATCTGCTGTGTATCCGCTCTTTCTTTTCTTGATTGCTTCTAAGCGTTTTTATCTGTGACGGCTTTTTCGTTACGGGTTTTCCGTGATACCATTATTTTGACAACAATACCAAATTTTGGCATTCCTTCCCCCAGGATGATATTGCCTGGAGTGCTTGAAACAGTAATTCATAGTTTGTAGTTTCACTGATGTAGCCGGCAATTTAATAATCTCAAACGGATGTGTTTTTCTCTTCTTCCCAGAGGCTATTCTGACGCATCATCAATTCACATTAGTGAGTTGATAAGCAACTGATATAACGATAAAATTCGAGAAGAAAGTCTGCATTATAGAGTATCACGAAAAGTCATTTACTGTTTTTTCTTATTTCAGTTGCCAATGTATAAATACACATCTGGAGCGTTTTAAACGTTGTCCAGTTTGCAATCGGAATTTGGATCCGAATTTGGGCCCTATCGTCTTTCCTAATTACACCGCTTGTTCTATCGTTGATGCATTCCGTTTTAAAACCGAACTGTCACGCTCCCTATCAGCTCACGGGGTTAGTTTTCGTTTTTCGTGTTCCGTTTGTTGCTGTATTTGCTGTCTGAAGATAAATTTGAAATGATCTTTGATCCAATATCTTCGCTATTTACTACTAAAATTGACCTCCTCTCCTGCATGCATAGGCGCAAGTGCAAAATTTCCCTGGGGTTGAAGTTTTAGTATGGTTCTTATAAATTTGATTAGTGCCTATTTTGGGATTCTTAATTTAAAAAAAAATTCAAAAGTGTTTTTTTTTTTGTTTGTGAAACTGAAAGATGCTGTTTACTCTGCAATGTACGAGTGGTTATTAGCATATGTTGGAAAAGTTTTCGCATCAGAAAAACTCATTTCAAAATCAAATTCCCTCTCCTTTTCGCTCAAAGACAGCTCGGGTGGAGTGGCCCGAGCAATAGCAAATACCAACAGCAATCACGTGCTGGCAAAAGGCTATCGATGGCTCCCTTATGCGTCCGTTATGTGCAGCCATAATTCCCGGTCCATTCAGAATCACGTAGTTTCGTGTACTGCAGGTGAATAACATGAAGAAGGGCGAAGCACTTGTGGAAATGGCCTTGTTTGCCGATATTAACATGCTGGATCATCTGATGAACTTTCTCAAGGAGCGACGAAGTCGAATTAGTAGTGCGAACAGTTGGAAAAATAATGTATTGCTAATGGAGTTTCTCGATGAAATGGTGGAACAACGTGAAGCACAGCTAGCGAAAATCGAGAAAGAATTAGCCGTTTTACGGAGGGACAAAGCATCTCTTCAGGTCTCACTAGTTGAAGTGGTTCAGAAAATTAAAGAATTTTATATGCAGTAAATTTGTTTACATCCTTTTTTTACACAATAGTTGACGATTCGACTGTGCCAGTGGATCTACCAATTCTTCTCTACGATACATTAATTCGTTTCGATGGTAAATTGGTACTGGACATACATCAGTCAGCCAGTCATACCTGCTACCGATTTACTTATTCCCGCAATTACAATTACTGCAGTGGTAGTATTGACGAGGTCCAGTTGTGGTAATGGTAAAAAATGTATACGAAACATTTCTTGTCATTCATTATAATAATTTTATTAGGATATTTTACAATTTCTACTAATTTCT